AACGGTCAGCTTATACAAAACCCAACTAATATTTACAGTGTCTCGGACTGAGTAAGTACGAAGGAAGCAAAGATGATCGGGCGCCAATGACGTAGTTGTGAAAGTCTATACACGTTACTGCTTACCTGAGTTTCCGGTCTCCGGTAGAGCAGGTAGAATCGCCACACGTTTGAATGAATCCCCGAACTCATGGCACCGTCACCAAATACACCAATCCCGCGACTCTTTGAAAACTTTGTTCCCTCGTAGTTCATATATTCTGGAAGAATAATTTCACCAGATCAACAAAACTACGTTCTAACGAAAATGTCAACGCAAAAGAAACAATCCATCAAGATTGGTCACTAAGCTGACCAGTTGCCGAAAGGTTGAATATGCGTGCAGCACACAGTTAGACGCGATAACTCCAGCATACAGACTGATTTTGTGCGGGGAAAAGGGGAAAATAATTCGCAAGTTTCTAACAATCAACACAAAAAGAGAATGTCCCACAGTAATCTCAAACGGTCATTCTATAAGCTATCTGGGATGGTCTTTCTGCTTAAACTTCAACTAAGCTAAATAAATTGTGAACTGTTCAGTTCGCGCATAAATGATAGACAAACATCACAAGTGAAGTTGTACCACGTAGATGCATTGTGAAACAGAATCCAGCGTTCCTGCTACTGCATCTACTGGAGGACTGCAACTGACGACTGAAGGTTTGTTCATAGGTACACGACAAACCGTTTTAGAAAGATGCAGAGGCGATCAACAAACTGTCTTCCAACTGGTAGATCAAACTAGCGTTGAATGTTGACTAGAAGTGCTTGCGAGGACATGTACTCAGAATTGCTGAGCACAAGCGGAGCACAAAAGAACCACCAAGAGACGCAGATGAATGACACGCGACAGTCAAACTCGTCAGCGGTGGGATATGCACTGGACACGGTAAGGAAGACCCCTTTGGGGCCACTGGTGATCAAGGCAGTGTAAATCTACAAGCACCTCATTTTGAACAGTACAGAGAGCGAAGGACTCGGAAGTACTTGGGGAGTGGCTTTGGATCAATGACAATGTGAGGTCTGCAGGGGTCTGAGCTCGAAACACGAAGCTGAAACCGGCCGAAATCCATATAGTGGTCCCCACCCACTGACCCAAATAAGTAATAATAATCGTTCAACCATAACACCCTTTCAGTGCTTAGCTACAGCACCACCGGAGGGAAACAGAGGGCTGACCTACCTCTAGGTCGCCCGAACGTAGACTGAAGCAGTTGGGATGCCACAAACGGTGACCTTCCGATCAGTAAGTTTGCGCCTAAACCACTGGGCCATTTCGACTCAATTGACCCAGAACTCACATACAAAGACCAACTATATCTGTGTGGCGAGATGGCTCAAGTGGTTAGATCGCGAATTTACTGACCGTAAGGTTCGTGGTTCGAATCCGACCTCTGCCACTCGACTTCCCCTGTCAAGGCCTGGGCGACCTGGCAGTATCCCAGCCCCCATGCTTCCTCCGGGTGGCACGGCAGCTGGGCACCGGAAGGGTGTTACAATTGAACGATTATTATTATTATTATTATTATTATTATTATTATTATTATTAACGATATCTGTAAACCACGTCTGAGAGGAAAATACCAACCGTACGCCGGAGAAACGAGATACCAAATCGTGCTAAAATTGGTGTTAACTTTACTCCTAACCCATTAGTGCTAGGTTCCAGTCACCTACACTAAGAACAAAAGGACTGTGAGGCTACATTCAACACTGATCTAGTCAGTTAGTTGAAAGATTGGTTCTCCTATGCTTTAAAGCTCGATCCACTTGGCAGTCTTCTGACTTGCCTGACGAGGCCTTTGTACCAGAAGTAAAAAGCCAACCGTTTCGACCGACTCCAAACTTTTACCTGTTGATTGGAAGCAAGTGGAATGGTTCTTGTGAACAAAACTGTCATACAACTGCGGGAATCACGATGTATGACCTTCTTCTAGAGAATCTTCAGGTTGTAATGGGTTATTGAAGAAATGAACATGGACTAGAACCTGAGAGTGACAGCTTGCAGCACATCAACAGTGACAACTCAACGTAATCGGGCGAAACAGAAACACAAGCATGCTAGAAGGAGGAGTTACGTTTGTTGAGAGTTGCTGCAATAAAGTGTTTGGTATGAGGTTGGTTGACTTCACCCCAAGGTCATCCTAAATGTCAATAAGAGGCCTCGGAATAATGATGCCAGAATCTAAAATCTTCAGGGCGGCACAATCTCGAGCATTTTTCATCCAGCAAAGCTTCACAAATGAATCATAGACAGACGGTCGGTGTGTCACTGGAAATCCAAAACCACATTCTATAAACACTATTCTCCCTGCGGGCACAGTAATTGTTTGGCTTGTTCTATTTTCCGCGCCACAAAGAGAAGGCAATCTGCGTTATTGCTAAAACAGGTTCAGCGGTGTTCAGCTTTTCAGAAAAGTTTCTGAAACACGGCAGATGCTTGCTATCATGCAAGCATTGACCCTAGTCTAGCAATAAGTGGACGGACATGAGGTGAAAAACGCTTCACTGTATTGGTCACACACTGACCCCCCATTCAAGTCAGCTGCCCCGTAGATTCAGTTTTAATCCACTGCCAGTGAAATCCGCGCCACAAAAGTAGGGTGTTAGACATGACTAGCTAGCTGCTGCCGAGTCGATTTCTTGCAAGTTAGATTAGAGAACCAAGGCGAAACTAACCTGTTGATAGCAAGTGCTGCACAAGTGTGTGACCAGCATTCGCTGCGAGCAGACAGGCCGGAAAGATGATCGCGTGGAACGGTACGTTATCTTTTGCCATAAATTGGAATAATTCAATTGGTCCCATTTCACTGATTTGTTTCGGCGTCGGCTGCCACCAATGACGCCATTCTGGTGTGTAGTTAGCTGTGATTGATAAGTAGCCTATGGGAGCATCGAACCAAACGTAGAAGACCTAGATGTGGCAGAATAGTAAGAGGTTTACTTTAACGACTGAGGAACAAAACTGACTCATTACACGATGAGTTTCACGTCAATCTCAGATACTACAAACGCACACGCACACGCACATACAAGCCAGATATGACTCGCTGGTGTTTGAATAAACTTTGTGGACGTAGAAGGAAGGGAATTTGAAACACTCCCTGAACAACTAAGGAGACCCAGAACCAGTAAGTTACCTCCACACAATGGGCGCTGTAAATATACGGGGTCTGTAAAAAAAGCCAAAACAAACCCCGCTGGACTAAAGAGAAAGCGACGCATCTACTTCATTCAAAATTATCGGTCCTGGTGCGTCACGATCAGACCGAATTATTTTGTTCAGTACTGGTTTTTGTTGGATGACCATACAAGTCTGCTGAAATCGATTCAGAGCTCTGCTTACAACGTTTTCAACATTCGCTACAATACGCCTGGTCCATAAATAATGAGCTGGCATGGTGGCGCATGATCATTAACGTGTACCAACCAGTAATTCAATTGATCGATAGTCCAGCCTGTTTCGGTGGGTAAATGACGTTTTATGCGAACGTTTTGTCGACTGGTGCCAAACTGCACAGTCTCGCGTCCTCCTCGGTGCGAAACTCCCTAACGGAATAGGAAGAGGCTGTTCATATGATAAATCAGCATTCAATAGGGACCTTTTTGAAAGAAAAATATTTGATGTAGAATAAAAGTTTGATATAGGACAATGGCTGTTGTAGTTTGGGTGGTAAATCATCCATTCGGTAAGCGGGAGGACGCGGGTTCGAGTCCGGGCATACCTTTTTCGCGCTGAAGACGTGCATACCTTTCTGTTTTCTTCATCGGGCATGTTTCGACTCAACTAACTGTAGCGCGTAAATGTTGTTGGAGTGAATGTAATGTCGTGTGTAATATTTAAGCTTGGGTAGGGAGGAGGTGCTTGTGTTCGTTAAGATGGAAGAATAACATCTTAGTTTTCCTACTGGTATTACATGGATAAACATGGTGCGCCTGACCGGAAAACACAGCCCACTCTCCAATTTATGCATCTTTATGAATGAATAAGATTACTTTGAGGCTTAAGCACATCCGGTGTTGCTCTATGATTGCAAATGCCTGAGTCTGATGTCAAAACCAAATCCATGAAACTGTTACTCCAGATGATTTTCAGAGGAAAGAACTGCCCTGCGATCAACAGTCTAGTCCCACTCTGTAGTTTGTGTTGATTGGGCCTGCACGCTACCTGAAACAGGATCGCTAACTCGCACGACATTCTTATCCAGTATTTTCCAAGGGGGAGGGAGAGGAAAAAAGGTAGGAATCTTGAGCAGTAAATTAGGTCGGATTGACAGGAGTCACTCTCCTCGGATAGGGATCCAGGAACGTTATGCACCAATGGTCAATGGAACTGACGGGTACACCCTAGTCAGTAATGCTTCTGGATCAAAGCTATTGTCTGTATTGGGCAACCGTTCAATTTTCCTCTTCATGAGACAAGTAAAACAATGTAGCATGGACAAACTCGTCCGGCCATCATCACAAGTGCAGGTCTGCTATTTCTATCCTGATATTTTTTCAAAAAGTGAAACTGTAGTCCCTGGGATCAACGTATTCTTGACAAAATGTTCATGGCTCAATAACCGACGGGTTTACTATCTCAGAAAGGGAAACAAATACAAATATGAGGCTATCGGAGTCAGCGACATGTTGATATTAGTAGTTCTGCTGTGCGCCTAATCCCTGACACACGATAGGAAACTATGCAGTGACTAGTATTTACCACCCCATGCTCTAGCTCCGCACGTGCAATGTCTATAATAGGTGTTTGGAACGAACAAGGAATAGAACTACACACGAATGTATCGCCATGTGATAAAGTGAACTAAGTGGTGCTAAAATTGAGTAACGGTCTCAGGCGAAACAAACTCATTGATCCTGAAAACCAGAGTAGTAAACCACATTTCGGACCTCACTTACCTTATTCTTGTACTCCTCTAGTGGAACCGGAACACCCCAGTTTAGGTCACGTGTGATACATCGGGGTCTGAGACCATCACGAATCCAAGTGCTGGATATTGTGCGAGCATTGGTAGTCCACAAGCTCGTCGGATTGTATGCACGTTGTTCAACAAATGCTGCCAACTTCGACTCAATCTGAAGAAAAGAATACGATCAGAAGCGGAATCCGGTGATCCAAAAATGTCACCAAATGGGTCAGGATCACACGGCATGTCTTACCTTCGGTAGGTCTAGGAATAGATGTTTTGAGGAACGGACGACTGGTGAATGCTGGCACGTCTTGCACCTAGGTTGCTTCAGCTCTATAGCATTCATCAGCCGACCACATTTGTCGCACTGATCACCACGTGCGTCATCGTACTTGCAAAATGGACAGGTACCTTCCACAAACCGATCGGCGAGGAACCTAACATACAGAGAATCAGAGACATATTTTAACGGAAAGTAAGGTTGAGTTCGAAAAGGCCATGACATAATCTCCTCATGAAAAATCATCCCCACTACTCAAAGAAACGGTTCAAAACAAGTGGGATGACCGACTCCATGAAGAGTCGATGATAAACGGTACCATAAAACGAAACCAATAAGCCATTCAGACACAACAACAGATCAGTCAAATCGAATGCATTTGCCCGGCACACACCAACAGACAAGTTTTATTAACCACATCTCAATCAATATGTTGGGGGTTGATCGATCAGAAATATCACCCTTGGGTTTCCCATACAGGGACGGTAAATGACTGATTCAATTGTTAGGCAGCAAACAATAGCAGCGGCCTGCAGTCCCACTCTCGTGGAAATACACAGGACAGCGTATCATCATTTGCGAATGGGTAGGTGACAGGGACTAAATGCAAGGTACTTGTGCGTTAGGCAGAAGCAACTAGTTGACAAGGTAGAAAGAAGACGAATGGAGCAGTCATCACCGGTCAGACGTAGAAAACGTGCTACTGATACGGAGCTCACGTTACGACAGTTGGGACTTGAAGGCGTTTGAACATGTCCCGTATCATCTGTAATTGTGAATACCCTTCATCCGACAACAAATAAAGGAGGGCGGAACGTTATGGAAATGGCTATCGCTTAACTGGTTGGGTTCTAACGATAGGACATTCGAAACAAAAATACAGTAAACTGAGGGATCGACAATCAAGCTTCATTGATGTCTAGGACGGATCGACAAGAAGCACCGATACTTATAAGCCACACAGGGTATCCTGAATTCAAAAATATGATTGTGGACCATGGAAAAAATACTGAAAAGCAGTATAACTTACTTCGAACAATTCTCACAAAATAATTGTTCCAATGTATCTTCGGTGATGTACTGGTTTTCCCACAGTTTCTGGAAAAGATCCTGTACGATCCTACATGGATCATACAGGAATGATGGGTTGAGGAATAGGGAGCTAGCACAAACTGAGTTGAAACAGATTCAGCACCAGAATACACAGAGCTTAACAAGCCAGGAGTTATGGACCGTTCGGAAGATGGAGCTGGCAAATGTGATCATCAAATATATATGGACATGAAGTAATGCCACCGATGTTGAATGTGGCTATTAAGCTTTCTGAAGTTATCCGTTATAAATGCAAACACAGTTATATCACCCAGAACTGAAGAGTCTGCTTGCAAGGGTTCGCCAACAACAACTACTGTATTAGCGAAATACACCCATTTGCAAACAAATTTGGTTTTGCGAGAGACCCACCTGGAATCAAGCTAAATCTCCCGTTAGTGATGTTTCCAAACAACTGAATGTGCTGCACAAGGCCGCCTCATGTTTCAGTTGCTACGATATTCGAGATATTGTATTATTTCAAAGGAGAACTTAAATACATTAACGCGATCAACTTGCGTCATTTGACTTGGGTTTGTGGATGTTTTGGGTGAGTAGTTGAGAAACTCCCATAAAAGGGACACTCTTTGGCTGAGGACAGTCTAATAATTTGGAGCCTCCCCTTTTGGTTGTAGCAGAAGTGCCAGTCAACTTTACCAACATTACGGAACAGTCTAATAATTTGGAGCCTCCCCTTTTGGTTGTAGCAGAAGTGCCAATCAACTTTACCAACATTACGGATCAGGCGATATAATCTCAGCGAAGCATCATTGTTGAACACTGATGTCATGCTATCGATGATGATGATGATGATGATGACGATGATGATGATGATATAATCGCAGAGGTGTTCTATATTTCGGCCCTCTAAGTGCACCTGACTCGATATCAAGCAAATGACCTTTGGTCGATTACTTCCTGGTCTACGTCTGATCAATTTTCCGTCACTTTGAACGGTATGTCCACGAAGGACAAACATGTCATCCCAAATGAAGCAAGATTTAAGTGAGCAGTGGTAATCGACGACCAAATTACCCATAATATAAAGGTCGCCACCAACATTCCTTTAGATTACGACAACAATAAATAACAAGTAGTCGAGTAAGGCAAATTTAATCTGTTTTGAGCAGCAAATGTTTCATTCACATAGAAAATCGTTAGTAGTGTGACTCTCACAAATCTCCAAGGAGTAGCGTATCCCCACCAATCTTAATGGAAGTTGATTAGTTGGGCTGATGAATCATCAGCAGTATGGTTGGTCTTCACACACAGTTTATGATGGGGTGGTGAAAATTCCATTGCTATTAGGCTACTTGACTACTCCTTGTTTCACCAGAAAAGGTGTGTGAAGGCTTTGACACTGTCGTGACTCATTAATCACAGTCCCTTAGAAAATTAATCATACAGTGATGGTGTTTTAAAACACTTAAAAATCCTTCGATTACTTTTTAGACCTCAAACTCTATTTCATACAGTATTCGCTCTGCGATGCGCAAATGAAAGCAAACGTCCGCATGTCTACACAGTCTAATCGAAAAACCTTCTCCAAAAAACCAAGACCTTTGGCCTAGGATCTCTTTGGTAGTTGGTCACATTAAGAAATTGTATAGTCGATAAAATTAATTCGAGCAAATCCGCCACAAGCCTATTCTCGGGTTGATGAGGCTGTCTGAGAATCTTACTGGAAATGTAGTGCAAATGAGTCTGAGTTACTGAATCTAACAGAGAATATGATCAACAGTAATAAAAAAACTTATCAAGCTGAGGTGGATGAACATGTGTGATGCTATATTTTTTCCACCTGTTTGGTTGGAGTTCATTGGAGTCGCGCCGTATGCGGTTGGATCGGACACGCAACTGTGTTTAGTAGAGATCATACTGACATTTCACACGTCTGTTGGTTGTGAGGTTTGTGCTGGACAAGATCTAACCGGGGTGGATTCGAACCACTAATCTGTCGGCCAGTAGCTCGCAGCTTAACTGCTGGTCTATTCTGAATTCAACGATCGTATGCAACATGCACCTCAACGTGGTTCACTGTAGGAACCTTAATTTTCCTGTAAGGTTTAGGGCTGTTTTGGGTCATCATCATTGACAGCACGACGTCAGTGTTCAACACTGATGCTTCACTGCCGCACAACCATGAAAGCCTCATTGTGTGTTCACTCATAGGTTGTCCTTCGTGCGTAACTCACTGTTACACACCATTCTTAACTCCCGTTATACGGGCTTTGCTGGCGACTGAGGAAGCATAAACTATGGAAGAAGGTAGCACTATTACGGGTTGTGGAAGAAATGTATTCACGGTTCGGACTTACTCTTGGTGTTTATCCGTCGTCGTCCGACCGAAATAGTCAAACTGGATATCAAACCATGAGTAGATATCGCAATGTAGCTTATGGTACTTGTCGCAAATCTGACGAGGTGTCATGTGCTCCGAAAGAGCTTTGGCCTCGGTAGCCGTACCATATTCATCCGTCCCACAGATGGAGAGTACATTGTACCCAGCAACGTCACAGTACAGAGCAAAAACGCTGGCACTGAGAGTGGATCCGATCATGTTGCCCAAGTGAGGAACGTTATTAACGTAGGGCAGAGCAGAAGTGATGAGAATATTTCGAACACCGCTGGATTTTGACTGGGGTAATCTGAAATTGTGGGGGGAAGCAGTGTAAACAAAAATGCGAAAACACTAGGTGATCGGCTGAGCATGAAAGATCTACAGTCCCAAACCATCGAACTCGTGAACTATCAGAAGCTCCAAGCTCCCGATATACTCATATATAAGCCTAACGCAAATGTCCTGTGCCAACCACCGACAACGCTTAAAAGAGAGATATGGTACATTTGACGTTTGCATACGGTACTGAAGGCTTTAATCAAACTCCTACTAGCTACACTTTGATTTATATTGTAGAGGAATGTGGTACTTCCTCCGTGGCTTAATTTCTCCGGCATCCCACGATGAGGTCAGAATAAATTAGTGAAATCGGCTTGCAACATGACTGCATGTGTTTTCTGCATCCTTACCTGGGTGGTCTGTCTACTCATTTTTTATAGCTAGAAGCAGCTTCCACAGCTGTGTCCTGAACACAACTTGAGAAATGAACGGTAACCAGAAGAATAAATCTCAACAAAATGTGTCGACGTGAACGAAACCTTGGGAAGAAAGCCGACTACGGTAAAGTGCACACAGATGAGTCTCTGTGTAGATTCAAACACCACCACACGAACAATATAGGCCACGGTAGAGTTGGAAGAGTATTTTCAAACCTTAGAACAACGGATAAAGCTGTCGTAGTATCTCGGCTGCACTCTCTCTTGGAACTGATCGCAGAACCAAAAGATAGCCATTATCTAAAAGGTCGCAACGGGATATGAGCAATAACTAAAAAAGATTGGTCAGCCGCACAAAAATTTGATGGCGCGCGCGACAGAACCACACATTAACCATCACGTAACTTTATATTATAATCAGAATCCGAAACTAGGGAGAAAAATTGAAAGTGGGCATCCACTCAAGTAAGAGCGAGAATGTACAGTACTCACTGCGTCCGGTGGGTTGTCACATACGAGGAAAATGAATTTCATGACGGGGAGATCACCATAAAGCATTCACTTGTGTGAGTGAAATTATACTGTCGGTCCGAATATGCATAGCGATGAAATCAAACAAACTAGCAGACATGTTGAGGCGCGGGATGCACAGCAACCATTCTGATATGGTAAAAGAATACCCCTATAGTTGAGGGACATTAATACTTACTTTGGTACGGGATAGACTGGACGCTTAAATGATCCCAGCGGTTTGAAACAAGCAGTGGCCTGATGCAAATCATCCTCAGTGACAGGCAACGTTGTCGGTAAACTAGATCCATCATCTAGAAGATCGGGGACAGATTTCGTCGCAGAATCATTAGCAGGCGGCTGCTTGATGCTGTACACCGCCTTTTGCTGAGAAGTTTTGGCCATTGGCTTGGCACTGCCTTGTTTCGGAGCACAAGCCTTTGTTTCTGGTCTTGAGGTACAAGAATTCGGTTGAGCGATGGACGGGGCAGAAGACCATAGGGTCTGGAAACAAGGTGTATAAGGACTAGGTGTATAAAAGTGCCACTAGAAAGAGGTCTGCTTAAATGAATGTTGCAAGGCTGCATACGTAATGAAGCTAGAAAATACGGGTGTCCATTGCTTGATACCATCGCCTTGATACCGATGTATGTTAAGACACATACAACAACAACGGATGAAGCTGGTAAAAACTACTACTCCAGGTGAGCATTGTCGCCTCTCGCCAATTTGTAAATATAAATGCAAGCATACACGACAATTATACTTTCTTTTCACTTCAGAAGCAGTGTAGCAGGACCAAGCTGAATCACTGTTGGTACCAGGCAGGCAGGAGCTCATTATCCGAGAGTTACAACAGGGTTTGGTCCTTGACACAGGTCATCCTCGGTGGTTGAGATGACGTACAGTTTCATGTAATATTTCCGCTATGTAGCCGGTAGCACTTCTTCTATGGACCAACAACCTACAGTGGCTAAACTATTTCGAGTCCTTTGAAATCATTGCAACAGCTTCGCCGAAAGCAGTCAATACGAAGTTGCCAACGTGGAGAGGTACGCCGTTGGGTTGCGAAAGGAACAAGCCAGAATCAGGTTGTCCTCCCCGAATGATGACGGCATCTCTAATGCAACTAAATTTGTTTGCCTTTTCGGAGTTGTCGGTGAAAGGAAGTGCTGTATATTCAAGGCGAACGAGGCGAACTCAGAAAGAAAAAAGCGATCACGTGACAGTAGGACAATTAGCCTAGCAGACATTAAAGTGTGAATGTGAATCAAGGAATGGTCAGTGAAGTCAGGTGGAAAATTCAGGGTGAGATAGGTAATTGATCAGATAGCTGTTAATCTGTCCGCCGAGGTTTACTTGCAGACGTTTCGTTATCCTTCGAGGAGACATCAACAGCGCGCTGTTGCTGAAGATCTACTGCGATCTTTTTAAGCCAGACAACTAACACTTTTGGCCTACGAGATTTCAAGCATACCAACCACATCATTATATGCACTGATTGACCATTCCTTGTGTATTCTACCACTTTTGATTCCTAACTCGAAATCGTGGATTCAGTCCATATCGTAGCCAGATTCAAAGCAAACTGCAGCTACTTGCAGCTTTAGGCGCAAAAGCCTCAATAATTGGACTGACGTACAAGTATTCGAAGTGTTGCTGAATTGAACTAACGGGTACAGAAGGCAGTAATTATTAGTTATAGATAGTAATTAGACAACAACGCATGTTTCAGTGGAGTCTTTAGGAAGTACACCCTGCTGGCGTAATATGAACAGATACATGTCGAATCCATGTGGGAACGGGCAACTCACGTTCACGGGACTACTGACTAAGCGGCCTATGCGTATTTATAGAGAATGTTGTGTACTGTGGTGTCTTGTCCGACCAGAGCGACTGTGGTTCCTCAGAGCAGACCCATACCGATTTTTCATTGGTAACTAAGACATCGAAGAAAAGCAGAAGGAATCATACGTACGCTTTGTGGCTTACTGTCATCTCAGTAGCAGTCACGTGAGGAGTGGAAGCAACCACATTCCACAGGGAGTGGAAATTTCGGTTAAACTGGTCGTTTTGCATGGGTTATGGCAAAGCCATGTAGGGGATAGCCGGGTTCAGATGGTTGTAAATAACGCTCGAACGCATAGCTCATATATCTTGGTCGGTTCACATGGGCTTGTTCGAGTGCCTAGCGTTCGACTGAAAGAAGCTCACTACCAAAGCATGCGCTCCCAAGCCTCCAGAGGTCGGTGACCACTAAGATTTTACCTACACTTTGGTTGGATAGAATGCAAAATATACCCGGCGTCCGACAACGAGCCGCAGGTAACCGCTTCTGAAGCGAAGTTGCTAACACGATCACCTTGAAATAATAAAGCTTATGATTCCGTCACAGGTAAGGCTGAAACGAGATCCATCTTCGAAAAGACTGTGAAACGCACACGGCACTACGCTCGGAGAGGACAATGCGGAAGGTCATGGCACATAGGTCCAGGAACTCCTGATGGATACTAACGTACAAAGCAGACGATTCTGACCTTTGATTACCCAAAATATAGATTCAAATCAAATTTACAGTAAACGTTTTTTTACATTTGTGGTAGTGACTAGAATTCCAATCCTTGTAACATGATTACAAATTACTTCTAACCGGAAAGTATCCATACAATCACGTCACAGTGGCAGGGTATTGTGAGGAAATCCGAGACTTACCTTTAAATCGTCTTTGAACAATCGCAGAATCTGCTCGGATCGTAACAAAGAATCCACCATCTCGAAAAACCTCGCCAATTCCTCATGAAACGAAACGGCTTCAGTAGGTAAGATGATGTGAGAACAGTGAGCGCACTCACCAAAAGGACTTTCGGGATAGAATAACGGTAGTAAGGCTGACCATACGATGAGGGAACAGGGAGAAAGAGGATCCAACCTGAAAAGTGACTCGGAAACGCTCACTCTACGTTCTAAATCCTTAAGCACACTATCAAGCTCTGAAGTGGAAACTCCGGTTGAAGAAGAGACAGAATTGTGGCTGTTGATATACCGCTTTATAGCTGGCTAAATGGATAGAACTGAGTCAAGATTTATTAGAGACGTACACTAAGAACAGTATTTTCCCACAACAGGAACGCACAAAGCCCCGGTTCCGTGGGATCAGCCTCTAATAACCTGCTGTGAGATGAAAGGTCGTCAGATACTCCAGGATTCAAGTAGCTTACCACACAATAGCATTTCCTGATGTTACTACCGTTAGAGAACGAGTTGTTAGGGTGGCAGGATGGACTGGAATACTAAACTCATTTAGTAATTTGTACAAACCTGTCGCATTTGCGTCCTCGCGAAGTTCGACACCAGAAGTGATACTTGCGGCGGCAACGGACTTCAAGGCCTCGGCACATCCTGGGTTAAAACAGAGGAGCATCTAAACTGTGTGAAGTAGGGCTGAAAAAAAGGAAGTCCGTTTTTAATACAACGCACGAATACTCTGTCTCACACAGCTGTAAATAGATGCGAGATTTGTGAAAGTTGCATTCACATCACTCGTTTTAGTAATTTTACTGATATGCTGACACATCTATCCCAGGTAATCTGCATCCAAAGATGGAGGCCCTGAACTTCATTCCGGCTCATTTATATGAAAATAAAACTTGCAGATGTAGTTAGCATTCATCGCAGCTTAATCACGTACCTCAAGATAAATAAAGATAAAGCGTTCAGCTGTAGCACCTTTCCGGTGCCTAGCTGCCATGCCACCCGAAGGAAGCACGAGGGCTGGGATACTGCCAGGTTGCCCAAGCCTAGACAGGAGAAGTCGGGTTCGAACCATGGACCTTCCGGTCAGTAAATTGGCGCTCTAACCACTTCGGCCATCTCGCCCCCCCCCACGTACCTCAAGGTGTCGGTGTGTACGATTTTTTATTCGTTTATAGTGATGAAGGGGAAATCCTCAGTCAGTGCTTGTCTAGCTAATTCGCCTTCATTGGGGCAGAAGAGACCATTCCGGCCAACTGGAGCCAGCTGACAGCAATGCTCTTTTTCAAAAAGAGTCCGCGCAGTAAGTGTGGCAATTACATAGGGAGTAGCTTTACTCTCCTCGTAACCAGACTTCTACGTCAATCGTACTCCGCCGTCTTAGGAAGACGCGTGAGGACTGAACCAAAGAATGGAAAGCAGCAACTCGTCAAGCGTTCAAAAAAGGCATGCATATAGACGCTCTGCAATCTACGTGTCACCTGACTTCGGGAGTACGTCCGATTCTGCCAATCAATTCGCCTTTTGCAACGGGCTTGCATAGCAAGATGCCCAAGAAATTTGTGAATATCATGCGCTGTTTGTATTCGTATATTTGTGGGCACATGAATACGTGGGGAGCTCTCCAAACGCCTAATGGCAAGCAGTGGTGCTCGACAAGAGCGCCCGCTCTCTGCATTCTCAATTGCACCACTGATGAACAGTGAGACGAACACTGGGAGTTCTCCAAAACCCCGCTATTCAGACCTCTCCAAGCAAGAACTCAGACGATTCGGAGTAGCAGGCGACAGTGTTATCTTTTTTCGTAAAAGACCTGGAAGCACAAGTAATATTGAAAATTTGATCAGCGTTATTCACTTCTGCATGTGCTTCCGTTACAGAAAGTGCACTCATGCTGCAGGACCTACAGCCACTGATGATTTGTCGAGGTGGAGTAGATAGCTACACATTGGAGGCGGTGGCTGATACAAATGATACGTCAACCACGGGTTTCAATGAACTTTTCATTGCGGAGATCGTTAGGGCAAGCTATGCACTGTCGGAAGGGCTACGATGAATGAGCGCCATTGAGCGCGCGACTGTCATGTCTGACAATGTCTCGAACAATTATGTGTATTCTCTCGGAGTCCTCATCCACAGAAACGGCAACCACTGTCACAGCTGAATTTACTGCCAATGGCTTTCATAGATCACAGTCAAGTCAGTACTTTCCACTCTTCACGTATAAATGGGCTCTTCGGGGAAGCCAGTTGACTGACATAAGGAGAACGCGAACAACTTATAGATCGCTTCACCTACCATGGTGGGCGAGATGGCCGAAGTGGTTAGAGCGCGAATTTACTGACCGGAAGGTCCATGGTTCGAACCCGACTTCTCCTGTCTAGGCTTGGGCAACCTGGCAGTATCCCAGCCCTCGTGCTTCCTGCGGGTAGCATGGCAGCTAGGCACCGAAAGGGTGCAAAAGTTAAACGATTATTATTATTAGGCAGGTTATTCCCCCTGGAAACCATTCGATGTGCTTCAGCACTAGTGATCCGGTGTTCCCACCAGACTCCGGCAATGCTCCGAAGACATCAATGCTCAAATACTGCAAGTATTTTGACCCCCACAGCGCACACCGGCCGACTATTATACACATAACAGTGTGGAGCGCATTGCAGCATCGTAAACTCGATCGTTGACGGATAAGCCTATGTCACGTGAGTGCTACAGGTAATGCAGATTCACGGAAGCTGTTCTGGTCTACCCAATCCGGATGGAAATGTCCTATTTCGCTAGACTACCGGGACTGTGGCTGTCCAGGCAGACAAATTTGTCTACTACTTCTATCGGCTCATCCTCAAGCATGAGTTTAGGCTCCAGCCCACTCAGTTTTGCAGCAACACTACATTCTTGTAGGTGCTGAAATCGTCCCAAACTTTGACGCAGAATAATTCAGATTACTCAACGTTTGCACTACAAGGGCATCAGGTCCAAGTGGTGGTACGTCGTCCGCGTGCTCGGTGTATACGAGCGAATATCCTGAGTGAATTTCCACCCTACAAGCATTAGAAGCTGAAAGTGAATCTTCCATGGTCATATTTGAAGAGGATGGGTAAAAGAAGACAGACTTATCTGGCCTTACTTGGTGTGGTGAACTCATCCGTCACGAAGAGACTGGACCTTACCGTGGTGTGACGGTTCGCGCACCTCAGCGACCCATTGAGCTATACTGGAGAGTGTCCCCACGGTGCTCATAGAGCCTCTCATACCAGGTCGGTTAATGGCTAGAGGTCTGACAAACACAGTCTCCTGGACCTCCATGTTGGGGGTTGGAACATGTGGTGACTCGTTCCGTAGGGATGGCAATGCATTTGCATTTCTCGCCAAACACCGCTGCCTTGCGGTTCGGCTTTTGAGACGAAGGCTTTGGTTGAGGACACTAATCGCCCTCGTGCCTAGGTGTGAGCGCCCTGACAGTATCCCAGCCCACGTACAACCATGACACTTACAAATAATAATAATCTCATGCCACATCGACCGTCGCATGGTGCCATCAGCCACGTCGCCTTGCTTGCTTCATACAGCAGGGGGGAAGCAAACACAGGCTACTGCTGACGCCTCCTTTCTTTCCCTTCCACATAATTTTTCTTCCCCCTCTCCCCACCCGATTAATAGCTCTCTTCTTGCAGGCCCAGCACTTAGGACTGATGCCTCCGTTCGTCTTGCATCGGTTTTGAGCGCAACATGGCGTCACATGGCACCGACATCCTAAGGTATCTCCAAATCAATCTTCAAACCTCGACACCCAGTCTATCTGGCCGCGTTCAATGTCCACACTCTGAAGCAAGCAGGACAAAAAACTGCTTGTGCACTCACACTGGACTGACTTTGTATTGAGGTTTGCTGTGTCTCAGAAACGAGAATTCAAGATGCAATGATTGAGCTAACCGCTCCGTCAGTCTTCACTCGCTTCCGGCTGCGCACCTCTGGTGATCCAGAGGCTGCTGCGGCGGGATGTGCAGGGGTTGGTATCGTGCTCAGTCATCGGGCGGAAGTATCTCTACTTGACTGGATACCTCTTGATAGTCGCCTCTGTGCAGTTCGTCTGGCAATGTTCGTGAAGGACTCTCAAAAGAGGCAAGTTGATCGGTCTGTTTATCGTGTCTGCCTACACCCCGAATGACTGTAGCTCCGACGCCGTCAAAGACAGGTTTTACGACGCCCTGAATGCCCTGCTGCAGCGAGCTAAAATCTCAGACATAGTTGTGGTTGCCGGAGATATGAATGCACACGTGGACAGGCTTAGTGTGTCTGAGACTCAATTAAAGGTCGATATGGATTGGACTCGGTACGTACGGACAATGGGGAACGATTGCTTCAGCTGTGTGTTGATCGCAGGGTATATGTATGCAGTACTGACTTCCAAAATAGCCGAAGTCATCCGGCCACATGGTGTCCTCCAACGGCATACCGCCCACAAACTCAAATCGACCTCGTTGCCATTAGCTAGCAATGGCGCGGATCAATAACTGACTGCTGGTCATTCTGGAACACGTTTGTGGATTCCGACCACACACAAGTCCGGAGTCGGTTCTTTCTACGTTTCCCTGGGCTGCATAAGGTGCAGACAAATCGCTTGGCAACTGAGAGACTGGTAGATGCGGATGTCAGACGAACTTACCAGAATCGTCTTAGAGTCTCTTCCATATGCTCCACCATCAGGTGTGAACGCATCCTGGGACGAGATTACCACCTCCTCGCGTAGTGCTGGGAATTCTGCCTGTGGCACGGCTCAATCAGGCGCACGTGGGCACTGGATATCAGACCACTGGCACCACCTAAATCTCAGAGAAATATCCCATCCGGTCCCGAATACAACTGAGTGCGAAGAATTATCAGAAGCCAACTGAAGGTGAGCGTGCGGGCAGACCGTGAAGTATGGTGGACACAGAAAGCCAAAGAAATGCAAGAGGTCCAGAAAGCCGGTAATGCCCGAAGATTATTTCAATTGATCCGTGCGACCGGCCCCCGGAAACTACTTGTGAGTGAAACCATAAGCATCATAATGGAACGAAAATCTCGAGCAAAGTGGAACACCTTGACTGGTGGGCTGGATTCTTCGAACAACCGTCGTGGCCACCAGCTGGGACTCATCTAGAGCCCGCAGGTGAAGTAGAACCCTGGACGGTGAACGTGAAACCACAAACGGCCTCGGAAGTTTATGACTGCATACATTCTCTCAAGCGTCACCGAGCTCCTAGTCCGGATGACCTCCTACCCTCATTGCTCAAAGACGGGGGTGAGGTCCTCAGCCAACGCTGGTCTGATGTATTTGCCTGCATTTGGGAAACGGTGTCTGTCCCAGACAACCGGGGAGAGACGGGGATAATGCCCATTTTCAAAAAAGGGACGCGCAGTGAGTGTGGTAACCACGGTGGGGGGTTGGCTTGACCCCGGTAGTAACGAGAATGTTGACGTCAAATGTGCTTCGTCGCCTTACAGTGGCTTGTGAGACACTGACTCGAGAGCAGCAAGCAAGATTCCGGCCTGGTGGGAGTTGCGTTGGCCAAATCTTCACACTCCGTCAGGTGTTAGAACAACACCATACGTACATACGACCCACGATTCTCGTATCCCTGGATTTCCAGGGCGCATTCGACTCGGTTGGTCGGTTTGTTCCTCTTGACACGCTTTCCCAACAAGGAATGCCCCGGGATTTTGTAAGCATAATACGTTCTTTGTATTCTCAGACTTCCGGACTTGTGAAAGTATACGGAGAGCTCACCAAAAGCTTTCGTACACAAAGCGGTGTCCGTCAGGGATGCCCACTCTCTCCATTTTTTTTAACTTCGTGATCGATGAAATACGAACGCTGGAGGGTCTCCAAAACCCTGGTGTTCAAATAGCCTGTGGAGAAAACCTTATCGATCTGGAATATGCAGACGACATCGTTCTCATGTTCGAAAAGGAGGAAAAGGCGCAAGTGTTCTTGGATGAACTGACCAGTCATCCCATCGTTTGGTATGCACTTTGCATCCACATGCGTAAGGTCATGCTTGTGGACGTGCAGTCACTGAACAAGCCACTTACAAG